AAATTTAATTTAATTTTTTTTATTTTTATTTAAAATAAACATATATATTTTATTTTATTAAATAAAGTTAAGTAATAAATAATCGCGGGTTATTTTTTTTTAACTTAATAAATTTTATATATAAATTTATTAAAAAGTTTAATATTAAAATATTTAATATATAATTTATAAAAAGTATATCATTTTTTTTTCTTCTTTTCTATATTAAATAAGATTTATCTAACTTTTTTGTTAAGTAGATAATATATTTCAAATAAATTTGAGAATTAAACATAATTATATCTTTAATAGTAATAAATAAATATAAAATTTAAAATTAATATTATATTTATTTTTTATCTAATAAATAAATTAATATTTTTATATGAAATTGACATTTGAAAAAAAAAATATCAAAATATTATATATATATAATGAAAATATTTTGATTTTTATAATAAATAATTATAATATGTTTTTTGACATTAATTCCTATAATACAATAACAATAAATGATAATTTAATTTTTTTGTATTATCATTTTAAATAAAATAAAAAAAAAATCATCATAAAAATTATAAAATATTTTATATATATAAAAAAAAAAATAATAATAGAATTATGATAAAAAATTTAGTCTTTTTTTTTGTTCAATATTTCATGTTTTTTTCTCATTTAATTTCTATCCAAAGTTATCTAATATAAATAATGAATATTTTGGCCATGAAGCATATTTTTTATAATTAGAAAACACAAAAAATTAAAAGAAAAACTTTACAATATCATTAAATAATACATTACTTATATAAAGTATAAATTAAGAAGAATTCGAATAATTAACGTCATATTAAAATAATATAGAAAAAACGGAATATTTTTATATGAAAATAAGGAAAAATGTCCTTAAAATATCGCTTTTAAATTTGAAAATAAATACTGTGGATTCGAAATAGAGAATAAGGTTTGCTTATTAGGAGAAAAAGTATTTTAATATAATTAAAATATGATAAATATACACCATGTGTGTTTTTTGAGAAACGAAAATATAAATCTTATTGGATTAGGAACACCAGACAATTAGGAAACATATGGAATGTATTTTTTATATAATTTATTTAAAGAAAAATATTTATATGAATTATCATTTGGTATATATTTTTTATTTTTGGCTTTTTTTTTACTTAAAAAATAAATATAAAGGAATGTGTGTTAGTAAACATAAAGGCAACATTTTTTTCGGGAATAATTAATTATAAGAAAATGAAGAATTTTATTTTAAGTTTTACTAAACTAATTTATATAAGTATTAAATATAAACAAATGCTGTTTCATTTAATAATATTAATATTGATTTACCTTATAAAGCAAGTTTTTCATATGATTAACCTTTTTTATATTTCGTATTAGCCCAAGAGATTTCTTAGTTTATTCTTTAGTTATTAGAGTAACCTAGTTAAGGTATTAAAGATTTGCTTTTTTTTGTATAAAATAAATTGATATTTTTCATTTAATTTATTTTTGTTATAAAAAAAAAAAAAAATATAAAGAAAAAAAAATTTATATAAATGGAATATAAATAATTTAGTTTTTTAATGAAAAAAATACCGAAAATTTAAATTATGGCTTAAGACGAAAGAGGAAATAGTTTAATTTTCGAAAATTTTCCATTTTTTATTTGCGAGAATGAAAATTTAGATTTCGAAGAAGTATATTATTAATTATATATAATAACAAAAAAAAATATAGAAAAGTATTTACAAAATATGTTTAAGCTATAAAAACATAAATGATAATATAACAAATAATCAAACTATTATAGGAAATTATTTCCTATAAAATAAACATATAAGCTTTAATTAAAATAAAGCTTAAATCTTAGTTTTTGAAGATTAAGACTGTAATTAGAGTAACTAATTGTCTCTTTAAAATTATTAGTCGCCTTATAGTTGGGTTTTTATTGTATAAAATATATTTAGTATTGTCATTTCTTTAATATTGGGACTTTATATTATCAGAAACCATAAGTATTACAAATATAATAAATATGAATTAAACGAATAGGAATAATAAAGACTAAATAATAATTGATTTATGTATTTTAGGCTTTGTTTTTTTGTTTAAAAAAATATATATATAAATTAATAGAATATATATTATAATTATATACATTTATAATCTTTATTTGCTTTTTTTTTGGTTTAATTTCAGATTAGAAATCTATTTTTTCATTTGTTAGTTAATTTAGAATAATAATTGAGAACTAAGTTAAAGTATTTATAATTTTGTTTTTAGTTTTTTTTTTTTTTTTTGATAAAAAGTAGTCTTTTTTTGTTAAATTTATATATAGAAATCCTATTTTATTTTTTTTAAGTATTTTTTATGTAGTTTTTTTAAGTATTTTTTATGTAGTTTTTTTAAGTATTTTTTATGTAGTTTTTTTAAATATTTTTTAAGTATTTTTTCTTAATTTAAGGCTTTTTTTCAAGGAAATCTTTTTAAATGGAGAGATAATTGAAAAAAATCTTCATATTTTGCTTAAAAAGTACTTCTTATTATTAAATTAAAAGCAGACTCTTTAATTTCTTTAATTTGTTTTAGTGGATTCCTTCCTTTAAGCTCTTTTTGGAACAAAAAAAAAACCTTCTTTGTTCGTATTAGACTGATTTTGGGTTCATATATTGTCCTTAATTAAGGTAATTTAAGCTTATTATTTATTATTTTTTTAAGAAAAATATATAAGCTTCTCTAGACTTCTTCTATTTTTAGATATTTATATGAACTATAATTTTTGGATAATAATATGAACTATTTTTAACACTTAGATTATCTTTTTTTTTTCATATAGAATTGATCATATAAGTAAAAAGTGACTTATTTTGGATAGAAAATAAAAATGTTTATTATTTTAATTAATTTGGTTTAGTAAAAAAAAGAAAAATCTAGATATTAGTTATAGTATTTTTGGTGATGTTTTTTAAATAAATAATATGTATGTTAATTTTATATTTTTATTATTATATTATTTCCGTATAAATGATATATATGAAAATATATTTTATTTATTTATTGCTAACATATAAAGTCGAAATGAGTTATTTTGTTATGTTTCTAATAAAGTAATGGCAAAATATAAATTCCTTTTTGGGAATTTAAACATTGTGAACTTCTTGGGTTTCTTAGTTTTTATAAAAAAGAATATTTATGGGGTATTTTTTATATATATTGTTATTTATAATAGATTTCATGTATTAAAATTTTTATTTTTTAAAGTATATTATATATATATTGTTTTTTCCTTTTTTTTTAATATTAAAATTCTATCAATACATTTTTTATATTTTAATGATTTCAAATAAATAAATGTATATATCATAAAAATTTTAGAAAAAAAATAAAATATCCATTGTTATAAAAAATTTATAAGTTTTAATTGTATTATAAAAAAAAAAATATATATGATAAAAAAAGAAATTCAATTAGAAAAAACTTTATACTATAAATAAAAAGAAGAGAGTTGTAAGAATTTTAATTATTGCAGTATTTTTATAAAATTATATGAAAAATAAATAATAAATATATATAAATATATATAAATATATATATTTATTTTATTTTAAAATATTTTTTTAATAAATAAATAAATAAATAAAAATATGATTAATTAAAATTTAGATTATGTCATTTAATTCTTTAAACTTTAAGAATTTGACAAAATTAGAAGACTTGATTTTTTTTCCTAAAAAACAGGTATGAAACCGAGTGAGTTTTTATTCTGTTTTGCAATTCTTTTATTATTTTTTTAACTTTTAAATAT